TATCGGTACTAAACTACTGATAGAATCTTACGATGCTTGAAATTTTTTCATCATCTTCTACTCCTAGCTGATTTTCCTTACCTTTGCTTTGTTGGTTTTCAGTTGAGAGATCATTTAGAAAATATTACTGATACCACTAGTGGAGAAAGTGTTGTGGGAGTGATTGATCCAAGGGACATAAAGATAGGCAGCAGGAAGTATTACAGATACCTTGGATCTCTTACAACTCCTCCTTGTACTGAAAATGTTGTGTGGACCATTGTTAGAAAGGTCAGGACTGTGACAAGGGAGCAAGTTAAGCTACTACGTGTTGCAGTTCATGATGTGAGTTTCTGCTTCCACACTCATATTTTTCCCACGCAAATTCTGGAGCAGAAAACTGATCATATTTATCCTTCCGTTTGATTTTAATTGTACTTATGCAGAGGCTTATTGATGTTTGCAGGATTCAAATTCTAATGCAAGACCACTACAACCAATAAATTGGCGAACGGTGCAACTCTATAGACCAAATGAAAAGGAAGAGAACTAGAACCTATGAGCTTTTGCAGCTTCGGATTTCATATATAATTCCCTTCTTGTGGCATCTTTGAGAGAGTGCTCGTACTTTATTCTTGCATTGATTCTTCAAGGATATATTCAAGCCATTGTTTGTTATTTTGATATATTAATTGATTCTTCGATAAAGGAACAAATTCATACTTTATCAGCATTATCTTCAATCATCTTCTCTTCATGAAATTGTGATTAACTCTATTTCCACGGAGAAACTGGTAAGGTACGGAACATGGTTGTTTAGAAATTGCCATCAACCATCAAATAAAATAAGAAAAATTCTTCACCTAACCAACCCCACTAATGAAGATAAAAACAATCCTTATTCATGTAAAATAAAGAAGGTTCTGGTCCAACTTGGTTTCCAAAATACAAATATATATTTTTTAATCTAAAAAACAAGAAGAAGCCAAATGCAATGGATGGATCACCTCAAATGACACATTCTGTCAAGAATGCAAATGGAATCCAATGACTCAATTATAGTTCTTCATAGAAAGGGCAGAAAGATGCTGGACAGCAACATAATCTAAATGCTTTTGATAATATGCTTTTATTTCACCAATTTACAACTTCCAATGGTAAAAAGAAGGATAAAATTACAGTCTTATGCTGAAGAAATAAGAACATAGTGGATTTCAGTCAGGAAGTTATCCTAAACAGACAGAACAACAGCAAGAATTGGAGCACCGGGGTGCTATGATACAATTTTTAGGGGATAGCAGAGATTTCTAATGCTTCATTATGTTACAACCAGATCATTCTTCCAAGAACTTTCAGGATATCATCCGTGGATGGCCTATGTAGAGGGTCATCCTCTACACAAGCCCTGGCTAACACTGCCAAACATAGCGCTTCAGCTAGAGAATAGTCTTCTAGAGATGGATCCATGAAGATCCTCAGTTGTTCAAAACAACCACCTTCACTAGCTCCACCTCCTAAAAATCCTATTGAATCTCTGAACTGTCTTCCATCCGTGTCCTCCCTTCCTGAGATGAGCTCGATCAAAACAACTCCAAATGCAAAAGCATCCACCTTCTCCGAAGCTGATCCGTGCACAAGATATTCAGGGGCAACCCATCTGTCTGCAGTAACAATGTTGTCATTCCCTTTTGATGAGCTCCCACAAGGGTTTGATCCAATGTTGCAAGCTTTGCCCTCCATTCTGCTGTCAGATAAATGTTCCTGCTTTCAATATTCACGTGGGAAATAGAAGGAAAAATGCAGCAGTGCAGATAGCGAAGGGCTGTTGCAATGTCCAAGGTATTCTGGGTCCTCCTCCACCACAGGAGAGGATTAGACGGATTTGATAAGCATTTCCTCAAACAGCCATTGCTAGGTGACTCGAACAAAAGGTATGACCAGGAAGTCAATGGAGCACACTATATGAATCACATGATTGTAACTTTTTGTGATGTAAAATCATATTTATAATTAAATTAAATCTATATATACAATAATCTAATGAAATTTTACAGTGATATGTCACTAAATAATAAGGTACCATATGCACCTGGCCTTTTGGGTCAACTAGCAGTTTGTCAGCTTGAAATGTATTATCTTTTTTCCATAAGCTGATTTCGAATCCATCTTTTGATAACTTGTTCAAAATAATAATAATAATAATAAGGTACCATGCGTATATACATACATATATATATAGAGGATGATACATATTAGTTTTAATTTATATTTAGAAATAAAAAATTTACTTTATTAAATATTAATACATGCATTTAAAAATTGATTATATTGATATAATTAGTTTATAAATGCAGTTATTAATATTTAATAAGTTAGTTTCTAAATTTTAAATTAAATTTTAATTAAATAAAATAAGATAATCTAATGTTGGAATTCTAATTTTTATTGGCGGGAGTCAGGAGTAGATACACTTTTTTCATATATATAAATATATATTAGTAAGAATCTATTTACATACTAAATTTTACATATCACGGTTACATAAAATTTCAATTATTTATTTTTTTATTTTTAATGGTTAAAATTTATTTACATTTATTAAATATAATATTTTTTTCATCTAAAAAATTATAATAAATTTTAATTATTTAAAATATAAAAATAAATGGTTGAGATTTTGTATAAATGTGGTGTATAAGATTTGTGTGTAAATAAATCTCTATATATATATATGTGTGTATGTGCTAATTCAAGCATTTTATCAAATAAAATGAATCAATAATGTATTTTCATACGTGGTTTTCCTATGAAAATAAATTTGTAGGTGAATTATTTTTCATTTGAAAATCATTTTGGATTAATAATAAAAAACTAATCTATTATTAGGAACCTAATTATATAATGAGTAGCTGGTCTAGAAGGTTAATTGATTATAAATTTTAAAAAAAGTGCACTCCAACCTTAGGCACCGTGTTCAAATCCCTTCTCTTCAAAATTTGTTCCCTAAATTTGTTCCTGTTTAACTAATAACAATAATAATAATAATTATTATTATTATTATTATATGGTGGGTAGGTATGTATTACCATCTTAAGGATCCATGTAAATTTTGGACACATGGAAGTTTAATTCTGCTAGCCAAGAATATGAGTCCTCAACTCAAGGAAATTGATGAATTAGCTTGAAACTTGCTTCCACTACTTGCGGACAAAATTCAATCTATATAATCTTGTATGATAATATATAATTTCCAATAATATAATGAATAAGAAGATTAAAACCACTGGTTGCAAATATATATTTTAATGTTAATTAACCATTAATATTGCTCAATATTAAAATCTCTCCTGTAATTATGATTTTAAGTTGATTTTAGATTATTATAATCAATTACATCTAGATATAGTTCCTAATTATAGATGATGCCCACTAATAATAGGAAAATTAAGTGGATTTTAACTATGATGAATCAATAGCTGAATAAACCAAGGAGGCTTTGATCACATGGCTAAGGCAGAGCTCCTGGTATCTTAAGTTTCAAATTTGATTCTCAGCTATATATTTAAATTGTTCAGAGGGTCCTGGTATCTTTGTTCATTGCCAGGTAAAGCATATTCATCGCGAAGGAAATGCAATTGCTCATGAACTTGCGAAGAGAGCCCTCCAGGCCGAGGGAGACGAGTACCGGATAGAGGAAGTACCAAAGGAGTCAATATCGTACCGGTATATGTATCGGTTTTGTTACTGGAACGGTACGTACCGGATACCGGAATTTTTTGTGTACCGTTTCGGATTTATCGTTATAAATATATTTTTATAAAAAAAATTAATGTAATTAAAAATAAAATTTAAAAAAACTTTTTAAATTAGTAACAATTTTTTTTTTTTAACTATTAACCTAAACCCATTATAAAGATACTTTAGATTGTTTAGGTTAAAGATATTAAAATAATTGTTAAATAGATAATAGCAAATCTAAAAGTTAAAAAGAT